CCGTCTTCCCACGTTTAACCCTGACTCCATTTAAATAGCGAGAAAACAAATCTCTCCAGTCAGCAGGGAGCGCCTGCACAATTACAATCGTTCCTTAAATAACACATGCAAGAACAAATAATTTGGTAATAACATTAAGTGAAGTACTTCTTACCAAATGGTTCATCATGTGGTCCTTGTAGGTTATGGTAGTGCATGTCATACCTTCATAGCCATCCTCCATTTTTTTGCTTGATTGATAAGAGATATAATCTAAGAATGAGATTGTGTTGATGTAAAGATATAATCTATTCTTAAATAGTAAAGAGGATGCCAATAACACCGGATGACAACTGAAATTAGATTGGGTGCAATGAATTTTCGTCAAACATGGGAACACTAAACAAGCGTTGACAGTGTTCATTTTCCAGGATGACAGTAAAACGAGTTCCCTTTGACCATTACGAAATAAAAAATCTTTCCAAATTATTATTATTATTATTATTATTATTATTATTGTCATTACAAATAAAAAAATTATGAATATTATGGTCACGAGTACTTTTATTGATACTATTTTTTAGTGACAATTAGATATCGGTCTTATTATTATTATTATTTGTATTGGATATGTTTAAGAAATTAGGATGGATTTATTATTATTAGATATCGGATATGTTCAAGCGTTGATACTTTTCTAAAAGACAGTTTTTATGTATTTGTGGCCGATAATAGATGCGAAATAGTTTTCTTATTATTTATTATTATTATTATTATTATTATTATTATTATTATTATTATTATTATTATTATTATTATATTATTATTATTATTATTATTATTATTAAGGCCCAGTTTTATATAAGGGTGAGCTCTGTCAGGCCCAGTTCTTTTCCATTATAGTGTGCCCAGTTTTATATGGGCCAACATTGTATAAGGTCCGATAAGGGCCAACTTTCATTGTATAAGGGGCCAAGCTTTCTTTCTTTTTATAAGATGTCTTTGTATAAGGGGCCAGCTTTCATTGTATAGACCTTATCATACATATATCAAATATTGTCATTAGTGTGTATTGTTATTGTCTACATTGTGTATGTACAAATAATACTAATTAGCTGAACAAAACAAAATCATTCCTCATTATTAATTGCAAAACAAATTGTATCTTATAGTTCTTGTAGGTTGTTGTTATATTACTTACACATTTGCCTAATAAAGTTTACTCTGAATTGCTAAAGTTCTAAAGTTATTAAAAGTAAATAACCATGTTCAGTCCCAAATTTTACTTCCCAAAAAAATACACCAAACCACCATTGATCTGCAAATGAAAATCAATTGATAGGAGGTTGAAGTAGCCGCAGAACATCTTCCCTCGATTCATTAAACTCTGACAAGAGGTCTTCACACACAACCCAAGACCTCTCAAATGTCATATCGGGAAACTGGAAGATTAGGATTGTGATTAGAAGATACAATAACAACATTACAAATTGAAAATAAATTAAAAGGCAAAACAAAGTCGAACTCACTTCGGCCATCTCCGATAACAACTTGTCAGCGTTGCGCTTAATCGCTATCAGCATATGGATTCCACGGCTATTTCTGGTTGGAATAAAAATTGGCAATTATAATGATTATTGATTATTAAGATAGAAGTTGTATGTACACCCGTAAGCAAAGGCAAAAGAACATGAATAAAAGCTTACAAGTCTCCCTGACTTTTCATATTGAGGGATGTCCTTGGCCAATTATAAATGGTTCCTGTTCGCCAATCTTTGTCCATATTCTGAAATGCAAGATCCATTGTTGCAGCTTGAAATGAAGTACTAGTTAACTTACTTACTTCTAAAATTAATAGATGCATACTAGAATTCATAAGTTTATATGCATTTTATTCCCACCAGGTGGTCTACTTTGCATTTTCTGCGAGAAGCCGCATTCGTAGTCAAAATTGAATCAATAATAAGGACCTCCTGTCTGTTAATTGAAAATGCAGCGCACCACCAGTGGTGTTCTCGAAGAGCTGGGACAAATATATGTGCAAAAGGACTTGTAATACACAGAAGTAGACCTTTGATAGAGTACATACAGTACATATATAAGCAAATAAATAGTTGCAAACTCATACCACATTGATTCTGGTTGACCCGGTTGGGTACATGTAGTGAGTGTAACTTTTTACTAACTTAATGACCTCTAGGTTCACCAGTTCTTTGACCTTTTTGGTATTGGTATGGGCCTGCAAAACCAACATCTAAAAATAATAATATGTCAGTGTGTTTGGGCATACAAAACCAACATCTATCAATCAAAAGTAGGTAATGAAGGAATAAGTGGTAACTGCAAATGCGGGATCAGTCATAAATCGCCTACTGCGACCGGGGAATTTCCTCTCCCACACCTTTTCATAAACGCGTCCCGCAACCCTGACATATTATATAAGGAACACTTGTCAATGATTATAGTTATAGTTACTAACAACAAATTATATAATGAAAACAATTGAATTAAGCATCGTACCTGATCACTGACCTCCCCAAAATTATGTATCAAATGGCCACATAAAGTAAGTTTGACATAGTCAACTTTGCAATTAAAGAACGTCGGTTCATTCCTGCATCGAATCACATGAATATAAGCATCATTTACACAATGAAAGGAAACAATAAACATTTTCAACATTAAGATGATCAATTGTCAAGATTTTCAAGGCTATACATACTCATCATTTCTAATCTTTCTTGTGCTGAATGACATGTGCTCATCGAAATAATCACGCAAAGGTACCCTGAAACGACGAATACCCTTTGGCCGCCATTGATTGATATACGATACAGGTAGGGTAAGAGGCTCTGATATCTTCCTCTGTTTCCTACTGAGTTGGTGCCTCTTATTCTACACATTTGTAGTCTGTGATTCATCTTCAGAGTCATAGGTGGTAGAAGCTTCGCAATACTCAAGGCTCTTCGGATAACGCTATCTATCCCCTTTGCTGCATCGGCTACACCTTCACTAGCCTTTGCCTTTGACAATTTGGGTAGCTCCTCTTCTGCTGTTGGAACATCCTTGTTCTCTTCACCTTCACCTTCCCCTTTTGGAACATCCTTATGAACACCACCTTCAACATTAGCATCCCCCTTTGGAACATCCTTGTTCTCAACATCAGGGATACCTTCCCCCCTATAAACATCACCTTCAACATCACCTTCCCCCCTTTGGAACATCAAATGCTGAAGCACCACCAACAACATCAGCTTCATGACTTACAACCAGGTACTTGCTTTCACTAAACTGCGAGCCCGTACTACTTAAAGGTGCATCAACCAAAGACTGGTCTACACCAAATTTTTTAACAATCGCATCAATGAATGATTGATCTAGTTCTGACTTATCACTTGTGGACTCAATGTTCATGACATGACTTGGTTGGTCAGTTGATGGTTCCTTCTCTAGCTCCTTCCCAACCTCTGTCTTAGGCTCCTTCCCAACCTCAGGCTCAGGCTCCTTCTCAGACTTCTTCTCAAGATCCTTCTCAGCCTCCTTATGTAGTTCCTTCCCAACCTCTAGCTTAGGCTCCTTCTCAGCCTCCTTCTTAGCCTCCTTTTCTAGCTCCTTCTGATCAGGTTCCTTCTCTAGATCAGGCTCCTTCTCTAGCCTAAGCTGCTTCTCAGGCTCCTTCTCAAGTTCCTTCTCTAGCTCATGATCCTTCTCAGGCTTCTTCTCAAGATCCTTCGCAAGCTCATGCTCATTGTCATTCTCTTTCTCTTCTTTCCCTTGCTCTCCTCCTCCATTTCTTCTTCTGAAATAATATTATTAATCATAATGACAATGTAAATTTAAAAAATGACAATAAATGTTGCAATAGTATAAAAATATCTATTCACCATCACCCTTTTTGTTGTCCTTATTATTCCTCCTCCTCTTGTTGTTCTTCTTCTTGTTCACTTTCACCTCACTCTCTTTCTCTTTCTTGCTCTCCTCCTCCTTGTTTTCCTACAAATTCATAACCAATTAAAAAAAAAATCATTTAATGAGACAATTACTGAGACACAAAGCCAATTGGAAAACATGTTTAATTTCACAAGAATTATGACATTACCTAATGACTTCTTTTTCTTGTTGTCATCCTTACTTTCTTCTTCTTCTGCTTTCTTCTTCTTCTTCTTCTTCTTCTTCTCCTTCTTCTTCTCCTTCTTCTTCTCCTTTTCTTCTTCTTTCTTCTTCTTCTTTTCTTCTTCTTCTTCTTCTTCTTTCTTCTTCTTCTTCTTCTTCTTTCTTCTTCTTCTTTGTACTCACCTCATCTTGTCCAGACCTAATTATATAACTAACTATGAACCGCTATGAACCAAACCGTACAATACACGAGAAAATTATGTAATTACCTCCTAGCTTCTTTTTCTTCCTTTGAAAGGAATACTCTTCTTTAACCAGAGTTCTTCTGGTTTTCACATCTATGGTAAGCCATGCCAAATCTCATCATCAATATCAGCTACTACTTCATCCGCCTCCTTTTCTTTTCACTACTACAAAAGTTGTCTTAGGTAACACCAAATGGTATCACTTTGAAGGTTAGAACCTTAACTAATTCATAAGTAACACTTTTGTAACACTTTGATATCTTGTAACACTTGATGGTAACACTTTGATATCTAGTAACACTTGATTGTAACACTTTGATAATTAGTAACACTTTATTGTAACACTTTGATAATTTGATATTAAGTAGCACTTTATTGTAACACTTTAATTTTTGGTACTAGTTGGTCATATTTAAATTTTTAAATTAGGAATAATCATTTGAACCGTATTACTATTATATACTTCGCATAATATTAACAGTTTAATTGTAAGCTTTACTTGTATTAATATTTTAGAACTACTAGTAGAAAAACACAAATGGATACCAAATCTAGAATAAAAAAAGCCACCTTAAAAGGGTTCCAACCCGTACCTTGTAGGTTATGGACACTGGTTTTTACCAAGTATCCCAAAATATATAGAAGACTCCACCCGTACCCTCTTTTATCTCTCTAAGTCTTGACTCCACCATAGGCCTGGCCACTCTATCGCTCTCTCTCTCTCTCTCTGTCTCTTCTCCCTCCTCATTCACAAGTGGCGGCGATGGTGGTGGCGATAGTGAAGGTGGTCACAACGATGGTGCTTCGAATTCAAGGGTTTCAATTGGTCGTCATGGTATGATTTTCTTCAAACTTTCCCCTTTAAATTCCAAATTTTGGGCTCTTTTTATATAATTACTAGTTCAAATCTTAGGTTTTGTTAAATAAAGGTTTAGATCTAAGTGTGGTCTTACTATGTTTTCCAGAAGTCTGGTGGTGAAACTGGTGATTGATTTAGAGTTTCAAAGAATTTGAGGGGTTTTTATTACTTTTTCTCATTAACGGTATTAATCGATTTTTGATAGCTTAGTATTTGGATATTTACTTTTTATGTCAAACTTATGATTTGTTGATTATTGATTACTATCACAAGATTAAGTAATTTCTAATTAGTTTTACAAGGGTTTATATAGATCAGCTTTTTTAATAGTTAACAGCATTGAAATTTTGTGAATTCTGCTTGGTTTTGAGGTGCTTAATCCCATCCTGTTGTCTATCCTATTCTGGCATGAGGAGAAATTAATTCAAAATGGCTATATGATTGCAAAATTAGACATTTCCATGATTGCAAAGTTAGGGGATTCAAAATGGCATGTTTTTTTCTATTTTGTTTAATCACATGTTTTTAAGGATAGTAATGGTAATTGGTAAGTTCCATGGAATAATTATAGGTGCATGGAGAAGATGAATGGTCGTTTGGGTATTGTGAACAAGGAACTGGAGTCTTTAGCTGCCCTGCTACAAAAAAAACCCATGTATACATACCATGAAAAAATTGTTCTTGGACAAAACCAACCTTTCTGTCTCCAAGGTTAATCAGATCTTGAGGGAACTGAGTTAGAGAGTGGCTAGGGGAATCCTATGATTTGCTCGCACGAAATTGCAATCAATTGTGATGATTTATGTGAAAGGTTTGGTGTTCCAAAACTTCCAGTTATAGTATAGTATCATTGCTACCTTGCTTTAATTATAACTAATTGTAATTAATTTAATAGCCCTTGTGTTAATTGCATTTATTACTGTCACGAGTTGACTTTTACATTCATAAGATTGTGCTCTTTTGGTATGTGATCACCGAATTGAGCCGAGGCTCCAAATCTGTACTTTAGAGCTATATTAATATTTTACCCATTTTTTAATGTAGTGCATTAAATTATCTGGCATCATATAATGATAACATCAAGAGGTGCATTTCCGATGTCAGATTTAACTTTTGCATGCTAATAGCAATCTATATTTACGCTGGTTGGCACAATGATATATTTGCTAAGCAAATTAGCTATTGTTATAGCCCTTCCAAATTGTAAGTGTGCAAGTTGCCGCGAGACATAAACAAAGAACACTACTACAAAAATAACCAAAGAAACCTACTAAAAGAGACCTGTTCTGTGGGACAACGGGTATCTTACATTAATAAGACCTGATATTACAAGTAGCAGGTCTCTTATGTCAAAATTAATGGCAGGAAAAAAATAAAGAGACCTGCTGTTATCGTCAACAGGTCTCTTTTATTTTATATTTTTTTAATTTAAATATACTAGAATCCAACCACCTTATTAAGGATAGAAAAATCAACCCACATCTGTCAAAAAAAAAAAAATCAACTCATTCTCACCAGAGCACCTTTCACCCTCGACTCACTGTCCCCTCTGTCGTCGCCCACACCGCCGCCCACAGACACTTAACTACCCTCTGGTTCTCCTCTCTACTGTCAGTACGGTTCTCCCGTCACTTGAAGTTGCTTTCCGGCGTAACCTCGAAGATTAAACTCCGGCGAGTTCCACATCCACGCGACTTTAATCTCCGGAAACTTCCCATTCATCGCGACCCTAACCTCCGGCGACTGCTGACTCCACCCTTCCCTTCCTACACTCGGAGCTCCCCTCACCCTAAGGTACCATCAATATCCTTTTTTCTCATATTAATTTTTTTTCTAGGGTTTATCGGCTTGACATTTGCACTCCTCTTACAATGTCTGGGCTTCGTTAATTTACAATTAAGGATAAGAAGCAAAATTTTATGTTAAAGATAGCAATCATACACCCAGATTTTGGTATTAGTAATTTTTCAATTTTTATAATCAATTGTTTGTTGTTATTAAATTTTGATTTCTATACAAGTATGTCATTTTAATTTATCTACTACTAAATTTTTTGAATGATCATATTT